GTTAAAGTCATGGAGCTGAAGGCCTGAGGTAAGAATTTAGGATCTATGGATCAAAACAGTCAGTAAAGGCCTGGAGCGCACCCTCTGTAGGACTGCATTGATTCTGAACCCACGATGCATTGCTCAATAAAGTTACGCTTATAAAGAAGACCGAACTAGAAGTAGCAGAATTTCTTTCTTTTTCTTCCAGTGGAAACACCAGTAATCAGTTAGTCTGATCATACATGGGGGAGTGGGTTTGAATCCTTGTGAGTTCTTGTTTTTAATCCTCTCTTGGTTCATCACATTTTATGCCTGACCTGCTAAAAACTTCCTCTATCAGAGAAAGAGATACTAAACAAGATTTCCTTGTACGTGTTTGACAAAAAAGAAAAAAAAAGAAAGTCTGCTCTGTAATTGGATTCATGCTACAGTACAAATTTCCTCCTCATTTAATTCCGCCAATGAAAAGCTGACTGGGATGTGTCTGTGTTCAACAAGCATGTGTGGCTTTAATTAAATTTGCCTGATTATTGACTCACCATTTGCTTTTTTGAAGTCTCATTTGCAAAGGGAGAGCTTTTTAACTTATTTCTATAAGACTGCCCTAAATTTTCTTCGGCAACGATGTCGTGAAATTGGAGACAACTGTTTCTGTGGACTTCCAGCAGTACTAATGTGATTAAAAGCTCCTGCCTCCATCGACCAGTACAAAACTCCACTGGCTGGCTACAGTACAGGCTTTCAGTCAGCAGGGAGACTGTCAATTATACTAGAGTGCAAAAGCCTGGGAGCGCCACAGTAAAGACGAAATCTTTTAAAAAAAATTCTTTATGTCATATCTGTCATCTTTAGATGAGAGATGACAGGATCAATCACAATGTTGAAAGAAATACAAATCAACATAGGTATAATTAAAATAACTTATTTTACATATTCCCTGTTTGCAAGAGTTTGGTCGCAGTTATTCACAGAACCACTGATCTAAAGCCAAATGAAGTCAGTTAGTAATTAGACTGGAGCTTTATTCTCTCTCTCTCTCTCTTTCTCTCATACATGCTGAGATCAGACACAACTGATTCTGCTGCCACTAAAGTCACACCTGGAATGAACCCAATACTGAAAATATTCAGATGTTTGTAAGGACCAAAGGATAGAAAAAAGTTTTAGAAAAGACATGAAGAAATTAAGATTGGCTAATGACTATAAAGCTGCACAGAGTTGAATGCAAAACTAACAAAAACAAAAAGAGCAGTGGCAACCTTTTAAAATACAAATATACTGGCATAATATTAAAAAAAATTTTTCTAGTTTGTTCATAGAAACGATGTTTTATACTAGTTAATGATAATTCATTACTACATTATATTACAATTTAATTAGTTATTTGTGAGTATTGCTGCAAGAAATTGTGGGTCATGATAATCTATTTTCCTTTGATAGATATTGGTCCAGTGTCTGATATGCAAAAAGTAAAGTGTAAAGTAATCACTGGAGCAACTAAAGAAATTTTACAGTTTTTTATCATTACTTACACTTCATATTGAACAAAGTCAGGATGCTTTATGGACAGATCGTTTCATGTCTGCTGGTAAACCAGGTTGGTATATTAATACCAGACTGTATTGTGGTAAACAAAACAAAATCAAATGGAATTAAAAGTTTGACTAATGTAAAGTTAGCTTGATTTTCATTAGGAGCTACATTAAAACACGAGACGAAGTCGTCCTACCCGTGTAGATAAGAGGCCAAGAGAGCAGAAACCAATCCAATCCAATTTTACACTCTGTCAGGCACATTATGGACAACACAGGGTAAAGTCTGCCCAAATAGACTGAAACAATGCCAGCATTAAGGTTCAGCCTGTAATGGGACCAATGGACCTGTGCCTTTGAAAGCTTTTTGATGGTTTTATTCTTTCATAAAGTTTTAAACGTACACGATTAAAATGCATCCATAAAGACTGGTGGAAATATTACATAGTTTAGTGCTAGAGTCAATAGGATTTAACTGCACTGTGTTCACAGCAAAAGTTCCTTTAGCTGTTTAGTGGAGGCATTCTGCATTTTGCCAATGGACTTGCATCTTGTCTTATATCTAATCTATTGAAGAACAGCAACATGACACAAAACGTGTTTGTGTTGAAACTATAACTTGCTAGTTGACAACTGGTCATTAAATTGTAATTTAAAAATAATGCCAAAAAGGGAGCATTAGTGTTAGGTTTTAATTAGTCAGGAGGGAGGAAATATTCTGCATTCTCATAGCTTTGGACTTAAAGCAGCTCCAAACTGTACTCCCCACTCCACTCTTCTTATTTTTCTGAAGTTTCCCTGATGGCCGATGGGGAAAACACTACTGCAGGGGTTTAAGCTGGCCTGAATTGCCCTCTGATGAACATTTGAGTCATTTTTGAGGGGGCTTAAATGACATGCAGGACCTTTGATGCACAGACACCAAAGAAGAGATTAGAGGAAGGACTGTTATGTCATCAATTCCTGTGTGTTCCACCTAATTATTTGGCCGTGCATATCCCCTGTGGTTTTACCAACTCTGAAAAAATCACTATGCTGATGATACCTATCTGTACCCTGCACCCCGACGTATTCCATCTACTTGGTCTTGCCACGGTATTGCAGTTGACCGCAACCTAAAGGCAGGGCAGAACTAGTCAGTGAAAAGGAAAAAAACAGCCCATTAGTGTGTTTTCATAGCCTGTCTTTGCTGGAGTTGACTTTGACATTCTATTGATTACTTTTACGACTTGCCACAGCTTTACAAAAAGGGTCATAAGTCTGAGCATTTAATCCCATAAGAGCTGGAACCATACCTGAAGTAATCAAGCTTTAGCTTACTAACAATTTTTGTGGCTTGGTTTTAAATACCCACTGGATCACGACTGCCACCTCAGCACCAACTACCACCCGGAGGATATCAGCCAATCAGTTGTCTCAAGGATTATTAACAACATTGCTGTGGCAGTAACTTCACACACTCAATGGAGGTGAAGGCTTGGGGTCAGTAAACATAATTTCTTCTATCTCCTTGGGATATCACAACTGAAGGACGGACGAATGAGTCACTTACCGAGATCCACAATCCTGTGTGCCTGTATACAGGCGGCGGCTTTCGAAAGCCTTGTGACCTAACAGTCAGGTTCTGTGCATTCATTTGGTAGGAAAATGAGATCTTCCCTTGAAAACAATGTGCTTCAGCTGAAAAACAAACCATTAAGACTCCCACACCAGGTGGGAGTGGAAATCATACATTTAACTGTTGCTCTATGTCACATGTATTTGTGTACCCAGGAGCCAAAGTTCCATCCAAATCCAAAGTGAACACTTCAAAGAAAATGAAGTTTATCTCAAACAAGGGAAGGAAATTCGGCCTGACCAAACTTCACAGATGCTCTGTTCTAACCTTGCTTAGTTTTCTTTTAGGTCCGTCCATTCCATCCGTCCATTCTCCACCGTTTGTCCAGGGTCGTGTCGCGGGGGCAGCAGCTGAAGCAGAGAAACCAAGACTTCCCTCTCCCCTGACACTTCTTCTAGCTCCTCCGGGGGGATCCCGAGGTGTTCCCAGGCCAACCGGGACACGTACTCCCTCCAGCGTGTCCCGGGTCTTCCTCTGGGCCTTATAACCTTGCATATTTTGCCTCACCCTCTTAGTCACTTATGTAAAGCTGAGCAGAGAACAGCCATGAATTTCCACCTGAAATTTAACCTGAGCTTTAGCTTGTGCATAAATGTGTGTCAAAGACTGGACCCTGGATGTTCTAAACTTCCTCAGCTTCAAGTAACTCTAAAATAATAGTTTCTGTTCCGCAGAAGGTCACTGAAAGCCTTAATTCAGAGCAATTAAGATGATATGCCTTTACAACAAGCAAGGGACAGTTTAAAAATGAAGATCTGAATGTATCGGTTGCAACCCTGCAAAAAGCAGCAGAGGTCCTGCTCCTCTTCAGCGTGTGGTTTCTAGGGCAATGATCCTGCAGAAAAGCAATTATAACATTCAGAACTATAACTTAAGAAGGCAGTAGCACTTTAAACATGTGCCACGTACCTCAGAAGTTCTGAGCAAGACCTTGTTTAAGATCCGAACATCCAAAGGAACAGAGATTTTGGCTTTGTTTTCCTCAATAAATAATGACAGTGTAGTCTGTATGAGTCATCTGAGGTTGTATTCATCCACGGTACAGAACAGTGTTTTTTTATCCAAATATGTAGAAGGGGAACTATGAGGAGAGACAGTGCAGCATGTTTTCAGTTTTGTGGTCCTCTCTCGTCCTTTGTTTAATAAAAATGTTTTAGAATAGGAGACAGTGTGTGAATAAAACCAGACTTTGAAAAGATATCACTCTGCTGAGGTAAAAACGAAAAGGACCACAGTTTAATCATAACTGAATTTTTATTGACTGTTCAAATTACAAAGTTGATCTGCCTTAAATTCGTTACTGTACAAACCGGAACTGAAACAGAAGGCTGTGGGACAGAGTAAAAAAAAAAAATTAAAACAACTTCTCCCGTAGAAAGGTGAAGTTCTGGAGAGAAAACGCAAGCTGTATGAGGGAACACTGAGGGAAAACAAGAGTGGTGGTAGAGAACGGGAGGTTAAAATAAAAAATAAAATAAAATAAAAACGATTAAAACATAAACCTTCATAGAAGGAGATAATACAGACTTACTGCAGCTTTGGGTAACGCTGCAGGAATGGCTGACATCGTGGGGAAAGTTTGTCTTAAAAACAGGGTGCTAAATAACACATGGAACATTACCACATTTCATTTTCCAGGCACCAAAAACATATCAGCATTGACTTAATCTCCAGACTAATGAGCTGCTTTCTCGGGTCGGGGGTCGCACCTCTGCTCCAACGCCGCCGCAGACATTTCTGTGGCCGAACTCCGCACATCTCAGGCAAAGGTGAAGCAATAAATTATGGATCCAGACTGAGCTGAGGCGGGTGCAGGCCCGGGGAAAATTTCTGTAAAAATAGTAGGGTGGCGCCTTCTGATAGAGTCCTTAGGAACTGGGAGGATGGAAGGTCTTGGATGAGGCGAGCATGGCTCGCACTTTGGCCATCAAATCCTGAAAGAGCACAAGAAGAGATGGGAGTTTTTAAATAAGCTCGGATCAGGACACAATTTCAGTGGCATTTCTAATGCCAGACTCTGCACAGACACATCTAAGAAATCTATTTTGTTTGTTTTGTTTTTGGTGGGGTTTTTGGCTCGTCTCAAGTGGTCTCAGATTCCTCGACAAGGCCCGGCTAATCTTAAATCAGCAACTTGAGCCAGGGATCAATTCGCTGTAACCTTTAAGTAAGCAAATGAAAAACCCTTATCATTTGGAGTAACCAACAAAAGGGATTAGGTTGAGGCTTTAACATGCCCCCACCCACCGCACCTCCTGAATGAATAATAATTCCCGGTATAATTAATCAAACTACTCCCTGAGGCATGAAAGTGCTGCCAGTGGTGCCGCTCCCACCGAGAATCAACTGAGCAGCTTGCAGCTGCCTTAAGCTCCCTCGTTTGTTTTAGCTCCGCTCTCGCCCGGTGGCTTGCATGAATGAACGCAGACCCTCGAATTTAATGGAGAGTCCAGCGGTGCGGCGCAGTGAAGGGGGTCGTGGCGAGGCACCGCGGGCTCGGCGAAAAGGTGATCCGGGCTTAGCTTTTGTGGCACCGAAATGGAATCCGTCTCTAAACACAGCGTGTGGTTAAAGTCCAACTTGTTACTGGCGCTGGTGCATAAACTGCACGTTCGAAAGGAGCTCATCTCCAGCCTCAGCCGCAAAGGCAACAGGTGAGAGAAGTTCTTACGTATGCGCCAAATAAAATGAGCAGAAAAAGCAATAGTTGTATAACTGAGTGCAAAAAATAAGTATGGGATAGAAAATGTGTTGCTGGAAGCTGCCGAACAGCAGTTTTCAGTTAAACCCCCCCCCTCCCACTCCCCTTACACTTTTCAGGTAGACTTCAATTTTGTTGACCGGTCTCCAAATGCTTGCATTGCAGAAAAAAGGAAGTGCTCATTTGCATGACACCCCACGGGTGATTCACACACGCATGGACAATAATCCGCCCCGGAGCCCTCCTGACAGATGTGACAAATTAACAGCTGTAATCACAGAAGGATGGAGCTGTCACATCAGATCACTCAAACGGCCATTTTCTTTCTAAATGCCCCGGTATGTCGGAGCATACACAGAAACACACGGAAAACCAGGCTCCTGTTATAACTCCGCTCTGTCAGCGGAAAGTGTCGAAGCAAAAAAAAAAAAAAAAAAAAAAAAAAAAAAGAATGAGAGGGACTCATTACGTCAATAAATTATCACAAGACACAGTAAAAATGTTACACGAACACAGTTACACAACAGAAGGGAAAAAAGGCTTTAGGAACACTAACAAAGTGTTGACTAAGTACTCCTCATTGTAGCCAACATTCTCTCGTGAAAACAGTTTAAAGTAAAACAGGGAATGGGGCTTCCCACACTATTCCAAGTGGCAGGGGCTCTGCTTTCAAATGATGTGCTTTTCCATATAAAAGAAGAGGTGTACAGTCCTGCTCACCATTATTGGCACCCCTTCATGTTTTGCATAGCTGAGTAAATATCTTCAGAAATAAATGGAAATGTTCAAAATTTAAATCAGCAGTATCTTTCAATTTGAGGTCCAAAGTAATTTAACAAACACAATTGCCATTTCAACATAAATATTCTAATTGCAAAGGACAAAACAGAAAACCAGCATGTGCACTAATATTGACACCCCTCCTTAATATTTGGTTGCACAGCCTTTGGCAGCAATGACAGCCTCCAAACGTTTCTTATATTCATCTATAAGCTTCTTGCACTTCTCGGGTGGCATTTTCTCCCACACTTCTTTTGCAATATGCTCAAGCTCTTGTACATTTGCAGGGTTCCTTTCTCCAATGGCAGATTTCAGCACCCTCCAAAGATTCTCAATTGGATTGAGATCTGGACTCATTGCTGGCCATTTTAAAACAGTCCATTTTTTCCCCTTTCAACCATGCCTGCGTGTTTTTGGAGGTGTGCTTTGGGTCATTATCTTGCTGGAGGACCCAGGATCTTCGCCTCAAACCAAGTTTTCTTACGCTGGGCAAGACATTTCGCTCTAGAATTGCTTGATAATCTTCTGATTTCATGATACCTGTGATACGGTCAAGCACTCTAGTACCAGATGCCGCAAAGCAGCCCCACATCATTATGGATCCTCCACCATGCTTGACTGTTGGTATGGTGTTCTTTTCTTTAAAGGCTTCATTGCGCCATCTGTAAACATGGTTTGTGTGAATTACCGAAAAGCTCCACTTTTGTGTAATCTGTCCATAAAACTTTGTCCCAGAAGGCTTGAGGTTTGTCCAGGTTCTCTTTTGCGAAGATCAAGCGTTCTTTTTTATGTCTTTTCTTCAGCAATGGGGTCTTCCTTGGCCTCCGCCCATAAAGCCCCACTTTGTTTAGTGTGCGCCATATAGTACTTGTTGAAACAATCACACCAGACTGCTCCAGGTTGGTCTTTAGGTCTTTAGATGTTTGACGTGGTGTTTTTTCCACCATTCGCACCAACCGTCGAAGACTTCTGTCATCAATTTTTCTCTTCCCCTCACGTCCAGGGAGGTTCTTGACCGTTCCATGCCTGGAAAACTTCTTAATAACATTACGCACCGTTGAAACAGGGATACCGAGGTCTTTGGAGATGGCTTTATACCCTTTGGAGGTCTTGTGCTTCCAAATAATAGCATTTCTGGTGTCCTCAGTCAGCTCCTTTGTCTTTACCATTGTCACATGTGAAGATGGACTAACAGGTGGCTTACCAACATGATCATTCATTGGTTAATTCATGTCACATGTGTGGAGGCAGTTCATCGCAAGTGATCTTTATTTGTGATTTGCAACAGGTGAGCCGAATTGGGTTTTCATACTGATTTGCTGCAAAGGGTGCCAATACCATTGACATGGTAAACATTATGTTTTTCTTTGTTTTCCTGATAATGTTTATCGTTTTAAACGTTTTTTATCATCTGCTGTTTTGCATTGAGCACAAGCTATCAGCAGTAAAATGTTTCACTTGATGAATTTCCTTCAGAAAATATTCCACTATATGTACTTAAACTTCATGGGTGCCAATAATGGTGAGCAGGACTGTAGCTTTCCATATCAATATGGAAGACAAACTGTTGCACTGTTGGATAAAACAAGATATCTTTTCTGCACCAGCACAGCAGAGAGTGCTGTTATTGTTCCTGGTTTTTGAAGTCATTTTGTGAAATATGACCTCTGCAGGGTGGATAAGATTAATGCAAAATCTTTATAAAAAAGCATTAAACAAGCGATTCCATCAATCTACATCTAAGCCAATCAAAACAAAATGCTGCATTTCTCCGGGTGAAGGGCGCCCCAGACATGACGGCGCTCACATGCTCACCTGACAAAAAGAGTGATTATGTGTTGAATTGTACGACAGACATTTTATTTATCGTGTCTATTTTTTATTTTCTTCTTGTAGACAGAGACCCCGGGAACAACCGCTGTGAACTGTTGGATTCAAAAGCAGCGGGTTCCTCGTTTTCAACGACTCGGCGAGGACGCAAACTGTTTTCACTGCTGTGTGGAAGAGGAGGCAGGATCTGCTCTTAGTGCAGCGCAAAGTCAGACTGTTTTCCCACTTCTGCCCCTCTCCACCTCATTCTGTTTTTTGGGAATCTCTTTTAATCATTGGAAAAGAAAATAGAAAAAAATATTCGTATGAATATTCTGTTGGAGAGACAGATTCCCATTATTTATAAATCACCTCCTAAATCTGTTGACAGGCCACTATTTATATCATTCCAGTTCTTTTAATGAGCCCTTTCTAGACAGCCAGATCTGACAGGGTGTAAAAATGGAAAACAATGCCTGGTGCGGTCACAGAAATGTGCTGTAAACAGGTGAAAACAGCTAATTTAAATAAAAAAACAAAAACGTCAGGCTTAAAAAAGAAAAGGTCATCATTATATTTCATGTCGAGTAATATATTTGTCTTATTTACTTTCTTATCTTTAAAAGACATAACGCTGAAATAATTATTAGGAGGCGGTACTTCAATTCTTTCCCCCGGGGTTGTATTGAGGGGCTATCCAACTGGCCATCAGCGGGTGATCGGGAAAGTTTTACAAAAAATAAAATAATTCAACAGAAATACTGGTCCAGAAGATTTTCGTGTTGCTTCAGGAAGAAAAGGTTTTCCTCTGTATTTTCACCCAACAACAACAATAACAGTCCATGTATGTGCCGTGCGTATTTATGACATTAATAACAGCTACAATCCTTTCTCTGCTTTCATATGTTGCTTCATACGCTGCATTTTGAAACACGCAAGATGTTATTACTTTGCGAGACAAGAAAATGATAAATGGAGCAGGGGGATCTGCGCTGTGCCCCGTGACTACGGAGGGAAAGGCACATTATGAGGCGCATTGTCTTTTCTTATTTTGGATCCATGTTAGGTTAGAAATAAAAAATAAACAGGATACCACCCGCCTTCATGTGCAACAAACACACATTACACACACCTGCCTCAGGTAAATTTCTCTCTCGAGCCGAATTTCAAGTCTTTAAGCGGGTGAAATTGGAAACCAGCCTCATAGAGGTAAAAAAAAAAAAAAAAGTATTAATACAGCAAATATGCTCTCAGTGTTTAGAAGTCCTGTTAATGCAAACGGGCACTAAAACTCTTCTAAGGGCTTCGTCAAGTATCCATCAAACAAAACAAAACAAAAAGAGGAAAGATGGAAAAGAGAAAAGAAACAAAAACCAACAAGAAGAAAATGAGAGAGGCAAATAGAAACCAGGCACCCTCTGGGAAGCAGAGGCCATTACGCAGATGAGGATTTGCTGAATTATTAAAGATGTGTTTGTAAAACATCGCAGATGGGGTATGAGTAGTTAGCGGTTTCGAATCGGGGCATGTTGCAACAACATGTTTTCGCGAACAAGTTAATGTTACTCTGTTGAGACAAAGGCAGAAGACTGTGTGAGATCATTAGCACAGAAAATGAAATGAGATGCTTTTTTTATGAGGGAAGCGTCAGGAGATGAGAGACGCGTGATGTTCAGTCTGCGGCGCATCTGGTCAGTAAACACTGGAGGCTCGCTATGAGGCACTCTGTACACACACACACACACACACACACACACACACACAAACACTGTGGCAAACTACCGGGGAAGGAATACGTTCTGTTTGAGAGTAAGGAGCATGAGTGTTCACAGAAGGGCTGGTTGGGTCTTCATATAGACTCCATTGACTTTCACAACACTGAGCTTCAAAGTCTCCTGAATTCTTTTAACACATATGTTTCTGAAGGTAAAGCTCTGGAATTCTTTGCTCTAATTGAATTAGATACATACATACATACATACATACATACATACATACATACATACATA